GTCATTGTGGCCACCTGGCAGCTCGGTCCCATCTCGGTTTTCATGGTAAGAAGAAACAAAGATGCAGCGGCCTACGTGGGTTCTAAAGATTCTCGTGCATTAGCGCTCTTGCTAACGTTTCTTTCTTTCGTTCTTTAGATCAACTCTTATTGTTACACCTTCCAAGAGACCTTCAACCAGCTCTCCTACTTTGGTCTTTTGGAGTCAGAAGATGCGCAGTGCTTCCGTGTCGATGCATCTATCGAAAGTGCTTCCTACATTTTGCTCGGGGCTGCGCTTCTCCTGGCCTTGTTGAATACCTTTGTCATGAACGCTGTGAAGCAATACTTCCGCGACCGTGATGAGGTCATCAGCACCTCGGAAATCAAGGAAGAGGCTTTGCGTGAGCTTGAAGCGGTACGAAAGCCTGAGCAGCCTGCCTTGGAGTATGAGGATCCTACTGAAATTGATGGCGCCAAGGCTGAAGGAGATGCGGCGTCGGAGTATTGGGATGGCCGCAAGGATGCGGAATCCTACATCAAACCGGTGCCAGTGCTGTTTTCAGATAAATTTCGGTGGGTGTTGAGGCGTGCGACACCAAAGGAGGAGTTGAATCAAGGACCGCCATTGCCTTCTCCCCAGGAAATGATCAGCACGGTAAAGAGTGGATCCACCGAGCACGCCTCCGATGACGAATCTCCAACAAATAACCGTGCTCGACGGACTTCTGGATCAGGATCTTTTATCCGGAATGTGAATGTGAACCTTGCCGACGAGGTGGAACGGATGGAAGGATCAAATTCCGCATCCACGTCTGTTGCAAAGGGACGCCGTCATCGACTTCCATCCGACGGAGACGAAACCGAAGTATGAGCTCCATCTTCCTTCTGCGGTGTCTGTTTCTCTAGCTTTTCTTCTTGACACGCAGAAATTCCCTTTTAGAATTGTATTTTAGCTTCACACATCATTACTTTAGAACACAGTTACTTTGCATTTCTAGCTTTCAGCGTGATTGAAGCTGCTGTGGGAGCCCTTTTCCAACCAAAGACATGCTCCTCTCCAGCTAGCTAGCTCTTTCAGCGGTGAGGAAGCAAACGATGAAAACAAAAGGCGGAAATATGTTTCCAAAATTGGTTTTCGGATACTTCCGAAACTTTTTCCCTTTTCTTGCTGGTTATGACCGTGACCGGAGAGAGCCAAATCCAAAAAATCCCAACTTTCCCGGCGCAGCCCGGAAAGTTGGCGGGGAGCCTGGAGAAAAGGAGGAGAGTTGGGAGAATTCGGAGAAAAGGAGGAGAGTTGGGAGAATTCGGATAGTTCGTTCTGGAGGTTACCTGTCGCCACAGTGCTCTGCCTACAGGTTAGCTCTCCAGGAGTTTTCCACTGGCTTCCACTGGCTTTCACCTTGGACCTACCACCATTTTGGTTAGCTTTCCCAGTTCTCCAGCTAACTTTTATAGCAAGTTGGCTGAAGCAAGGGGTGATTTTGGGAAAATAGGCCTCTTTTTGGATGTTTGTGAGCTATTTGAAACGGCACGAGCTCTCTCTTTTTCTCTTGACCGCTCCTTGAAGAGTCGAATCGAATCATTGTGCTGCACCAACATTACACCAACACCAACACCAACACAATGGTGGGATGGGATTGTGGCTGGTGGGAGCGATCTATCTGTAGTGGTTTCTCTATTGCATCGGTAGAGAAGAGATGGCATATCAGTTGCACGTGAGAGCACTACCAACCTTGATTGTCAATTTGCCTTGGTTCGATTTGCCTTGGTTGATAATGGGATTGGATAATGCGATTGAATGCCACACACTGGAGTGCATGTCACGCCATACACTGGAGTGCATGTCACTCGTTGTGGCTAGCGAACCGTTGGTTCTCTCTCTAGCTAGGGAATGGGAGTGGCCGATCGCTACTGTGCTACGGTATTATGACGAGGTAAGTCTATTATCAAGTATGTTATTACTGACTTCTCTCCCTCATTGAATTCCTATGGTAAACAGGAGGTAAATCCAAGTTTGGCCGACAAGCACGACAAGAATGCACTACCGGTAGGAGGAGGAGGTCCAAGGAGGAGTTCGTTATTCAAGCGATCGATCGATTCGATTCGAGGTAAGCCTATTATCAAGAGTGTTGTTGAAGGTGCAGCGCTGACTTCTGCCCCTCATTCATTTCTATGGTCTATTGGCAGCCAGTCAGATCTCGACCATCAGCAGGTGAGTTGTTTTAATTATTCGAACGAGCCGGCTGTCTCCGGTGTAGATTCCGGTGTAGATTCGAAAGCCATCCCTCATTGAATTCTATGGACCATGGAATGGCAGTCAGTTCTCGGCCCATGACGGCCAAGTTGGAAAACAAGTGTATGATGGCCAAGTTGAAAAACAAGGGTAAGTCTCCGGTCGTCTGCAGTTGAGCACAGAAAACAAAACTCATATCTATTTGTTGTTTTCTCTGCTGCACTGCTAACAGCCGATGAACTACCATTGTCGAGGATGGAGGAGTCCTTTTTGGTCGATCGATCCATTGCGATAACAAGCTACCGGATGACAAACTACCGCGACGGAGAAGACTGTTAACTCCAGCCCTACCACCCTAGGTACCACTCCAGCCCTACCGACTACCGACAGCATAAACGGATCTATCGTCGTCGAGTCATTGAAAGGCATCTATCGTGTCGTCGAGTCATTGAAAGGCAACAAGAGGAGGCTGCGCGACAACACACAAGAGAATGGATCCTGCTACTGGATTCATCCTTCCAGTGTTATTTCCTAGTGTTTTCGTGGTGATTCCGGTGTCGGTACCCATATTCCTGTATGCACAAGTCCTCATGTGACACAAGTCAATGCGTCGAGAACTGTCACCCACGACAAATTTCGCCTACAAATTTCGCCTACAAGCTGCATTCAGTCGTCGCCTCTTTCGCCTACAAATTTCGCCTACAAGCTGCATTCAGTCGTCGCCTCTTTGGTTGTGGTTGCCAACAACACTTCGAAACGGCCCAGATTCCTCCAAACTGCGACAACAGTGACAAAAATTTCTCTCCGGCAATGTCACCCCTTCATGGAACCCATTTTCGTCGCTGAATGTGTAGTGGTGGTTGGAGCCGCTTGGTTTGGCCAAGTCGACGGCTTGGTGACATTCTTTTCAGTCAAGGCTACTACTAGGAGTACAATCAACTAGAGGTTACATTCAGGAGGCTACAAGGCAGTCAGATCTCGGCCGTCAACAGGTGAGTGAAACCTCAAACTCACGGTCTCCTGTGCAGATTTGAATGTCATCTCTCATTGAATCATATGGTCCATGGGATGGTAGTCAGTTGACTGTGCCCAACTGTCGTTGGCATCAACCGAATGAGGATGAGGAGGTTACACGCAACACTTTTGAGCAGCCACTGCGGTCGTTGACATCCAGCACCCGTGTATCCATCTCCCGTAAGCTAGATAATGCAACGGAGACATCCGCAACAATAGAAGAGAAATATTGGATCACAGTCAGCACTAGTAGCTACAATAGAATGTAGCTTGACTGCATATGTGTCTTTGTTGGGAAGTGTTACTGTTGTTGTTGCTGCTTCGTTCGCGGTCAATTTGCCTTGCGAGGCAGCCCATCTGCCTGGATTCTAGCTCTGGGAGCCCCCCAAGTGCTGCCAGCCGAATGGCAAGTTCCATTCGGCTGGCTCTCTCAACTTTCCAGAGCCTACGGTGCGGCTGGCTCTCTCAACTTTCCAGAGCCTACGGTGCGATCCTACGTGAATTCCCTGTAGCCCTGGAAAGTTGGCCGCCCATACTCAAAAAGGGTTCGGTTTTGGTACATGTATTGAATTCTAGCCATCCAGCCAACGTGTTCGAGGGCAGTAGCTCGTCCCCACACTCCCAACCAGAGAGCGAAAGCTCTGCTACCGGTAGCTAGTGCATCCATTGTGTGAGATCAATGAATGCTGTCTGCTCGATGGAAAATGGATATGGTGAAATAATGAATGTAGGTTTAATTAACGAATGAACTGTGCAAAAAGCCCCACTGCGAACTTGTTAGTCTGTTGTGACTACCAATGATAACGTGCAGCATGGGTTGTTTAGGTTTGAGTTTGTGTAGTGTCCGAGGGGTGGACTAGCTAGAGTTCATCAATACCTTGCCAATTGGCCAGAATAGCTTGGAATTCTTCCAGACTAACGGTTCCATCTTTGTTATAGTCCGACAGCTGAAAGTGCTGTAGCACAAACTTGTCTCGGTTGGGATAGTCCGGCGGTACATCCAGAAAGATTTCCATTTCATCAATGGTGACCTTTCCATCTCCATTGGCGTCCATTTCTTGAAACATTTTGGTCGCATCGCGCGTGACCTTGTAATGTTGTTCGGGATTGTCGTGTGCGGCGACAATTTCGATATCCATGGAGAGTGTGGCACCACCGGGAATGCTGCGTCCATCTCCTTGGTCGCCATATGCGAGTTCGGGTGGAATCACCAGAGTGACCCAATCGCCACTGCAGAGTCCCAACAGTGCCTGCGTCCATTGCAACAGGGAATCCTGATCGGCCATGTGTACCATGATGGGTTCGGGATACGCCGTGTGTTTGGAATGTGTGGAATCGACGAGTTTGCCTCGACTGCCCGTGCGGGACGATGCATCAATGGTGGTATTGTAGTGCATGGTGAGGTAGTGATTGTGTGTGATGCGTTTGTTAGGAGCGCATTGTGTGTCCGTATAGAGAGAAGGGCCGTCGTAGACAGTCGTCTTGACCTTGCTGGAAATGTTTCTGTTGTTCAATGCTTCGGTATGGGCAATAGGAGCCACGCCCGGAATGAGAGTGGTTGTGGCTGACCCACTACCACTATTGCTTTGACTGACAGTATCTGTTCTCGCAGGGACATCATCCACATCCAGCGATCCTCGGTGATGAGTGCCACTACTGGTAATAGTATTGTGGCTACTATGATTCCTTCGGTTTTTGCCGCTTCTCGTCGTAGAACTCAAGACCAATAGGGGTATATTGAGCAATGGAAGAGATAACAGAAAGATCCATATCGATAGTGGCGCACAAGAGGCAGACATGGTACTGACTGTGGCTCTGGATGTTAGTGGCCGTCTTCGCATCATCATCGTCTTCGTGTCTTTGGTCGGGAGCTTTTGTTGCGTTGTTGTTTCTTTTGCATTTTGCATTATTCCACTTTCCCCTTGTTGAGATCGTGAAAACCGTTTCCCTTTTTGATCGCGGATCTCTTCTTTGGTACCGGTGAGTCGACCCAGTCGACTAAAATCTGCTCAGCCAATGTGCTTCCTGACCAGACTGACGTCAGTCTCGAGTTTGATGGCTGTCCTTGAAGATCCCATCAAGGACAATCCCACGCCCTTCATTATTTGATCTTGGACTGCCTCCAAGAAAGATCTGCATCGTGGCACCATTCTATAATATCCACCTGAGAAAGAAGGAGCCACCACAACAGAAGGCTTGGACTTGATCTGCCCCAACTAAAAGATGGTTCGATTATCCCTGCTCCTCTTGACATCATTCGTCAGTACCACCGTGGCGTTTTCGCCCCACCGGTATTGCGTCGCTCCACATCGACAACAGCAACAGCAGCAACCATCATGGGCACTCTTTTCCACCAAGAAAAAGGTACGACGACAACCATCCACCACTGAGTCGTCGTCAGGTATTCTGGATATCGAAGAACCGGCTGGCATTGTGGGCGCCGAATTCTTTGGGGGTAACAAACAAAAGGAAGAGTTCTACGATCCAGTCGCCGAAGCCGAGGCGGATGCCGACGTTCAAGCAGCGGCGACCGTCTATGATCGATTCCAAGATACCAGTGCATTTAGTAGTCCCTTGGCGGCTCGCATTGGACGAGCGGTACAAAATCGAATCAATTCGGTACTCTACGTTGTCATGTCGTCGACTCCAGAAGAACAAGAACAAGACACTACGAGTATTCAATATGCCAGCAATCTAGTGTGGGAGAGTTGCTTTAGCACCCAATCATCATCCACTCCTCTGACAGGCTTGGAAGAAGCCTTGAATTTCTACAAAGGCGTCGATGTCGCCATTGTATCAGGAACACAACTACCGGGTGACAACAACCGAATTCAGTTGACATGGCAAATATCCGTCGTCTGGCCCATCTTTTGGGAACCTCGCGTCTTGCTCACGGGGTCCTCGGAAATCACCCTCCAAAATAATCAAGACGACGACGACGACAAAGACGACAGCCTGATCCGTACAATTACCAAACAAATCGACTCGTTAGATTCTTCCTCCGACTTGATATCCACCATTGCCGATCAATTATGGCCACGATTCTGGGACACCTACCATATTGGAATGACACCCTCTGCCGAAATCATGACACGGGTCGAGGACAAAAAGAAGCAATCAGGATTGCTGCCCAAAAAGTACAATGTATTTGAAATACCCGCTCGATTGGTCACGGCTCCCACACAGTTGGATTCCGAGGCGGGTCGCATCGATGGAAATGCCCAAATTATACCCAATCATGCCTTTTCCTGCGTTGTCAAAACCATGGGACCGCAAAAACAAGACTACGTACCGGCATCTCCGGTACAAGTGCAGATTTTGCCTC